GCTGAGTTAGTGTAGGTTTGCTTATGTCTCTCTGACAGGATCGATAGCTTTTTTCCTCCATGCTCGAGTGGGAGGGAGGCAGAGCTCTAATGAATGCTGCCAAGCACACCGAAAAGTAAACAGCAAATAACAGCAGTGACCTTCAATGTAAATATTTAACCACCACAGCCGGTTAGATATTAAAAACTGAAGCCAGGTCTCTTGGCAGTATTTTTAGCACTTAGTAGCATATTTTTTGAGTTCCTTAAACACCTGAATAAATACATTTTTAATGAAGTGCTATCTCACTTGAAATATGACTCCAACTCAATAATTAGAATCTGAAAAATAATAAAGAGAAGATCTGAAATATCCACAACTTGACACTACTTTTCGTATTAACGTGACTGAGTTTTGCATTCCATTATTTGTGAAGTCCTCATTTAACTGAAGCACTATGAAGCCTGCAGCTACATCACCATGTCTGAACTGAGACCAGTGTGCTCTCTGGGAAGAGGAAGACAAAATGACACTGAGAGTCAACATTTGTAATGGTTACCACAACTTGAATTCATGCCCTACCCTGCCGAGTTTAAATCTTGAGAAATCAAAGGCAGAAAAACTAAAATCTAACAGTTATTTTTAAAAGTGTTTTGTACTCTTAACATCTGCTTAGAAGTATCATTACATTGTGACTGATCTTTAAAAATATCTGCTGGAAAACATATAGGCTATTTTTCTTCCTTTCTTTCCCACTGTAAGAAATTCTTCATTTTTTAGTTTAAAAATGGCTATAAGGAAATATACATGAAAAGTTGCAGAAGATTCTCCCATTTTCAGTAACGTTTCCTGCTCTCACATCAAAGAATTGTTTCAGAAACTGCAAATTCCTTTAAAAAAAACCTTAAGTATTTATAGGCAGCTGTTATGCATGGAAGAATGCACCAGATAAATACTCTGGGAAAAGAGTTGATTTAGCAATGTAGCTTATTAGAAAAAAAATCCCACAGAGAAGGGTGAATTTTTTATAAACAAGTGTGGAATTTTTAAATTCCCCCTTGAAACGTCCTCAACACCATTTACTCCTGCTTTTGAGTAAAGCAACATATTCAGAGTCATGCTCCTTTCCACGACTCCTCAGCCGGCGTTAAAGGAAGTGATGTTTGCGGCATATAATTTTCCCTGCTGGACTGTTACATGTCCCTCACTGATGCTGCAGCTTTGTGAATTAATTTTCCAGTAACGCACATTGACGAAATACCCGGAGGAGGCTCTGGATCACTCAGCTACAGGAGAGGCATGTGAAATTTAATGCTTCCCACTGATTGCATGGAGATCAATCTGAACAACAAATGGTACGTGGGACACAAATGGCCTAGGGCAGTTTCCTAATTTAACAGGCTCTTCACTCTGTCTGCATTAGTCCTCACACTGCACAAACAGGAGTAAGTTATGTACGGGATGAACCCCGCACGGGTGTAGTGCATCACCAGCCACGCAGGCTCACATGGGAAAATGTGAGATGCCAGAACTGGGCTCTTATCGTCTCATAAACGTTCCAGTGAGCTGCGCTGCACTGCTCATTTTCCAAAGACTGGAGCCATTTGCTAAATTAATTAATGAGTGCCATGCCATACGGAATCTGTTCTGAAACCAGTGGGTGAAAAAATATTAATATAAAAAGTAGCACTAAGGAAATATTTTGGTAGATCTAGTTGCAGGGAGCAGTCAATCTTTGGGACTGGTAAATTAAAAAGTCGCTAATGCCTCAGGAATAGAAATTATAGACCTGTATCTATAAAAACATACATATATTTGAACAAAAAAAGAAAATAAAATTAAAAAAAAAAAAAAAAAAAAAAACAACAACAAGAGAGAAAACATTCATTGCTTTTATTTAGATTTACCCTGGAAAGAGCACTGAACCTTGTTCCTACTTATCAAATCTTTCCAAGGTTAATGTCGATTATTTTAAAATAAGTTTTTGGAAGTCTATACCTCACTAGTTTTTAAAACATTTAAAACAGCAGGAGTGAAAACACAAGACATAACTAGCCACTTGACAATACAGAGCAACCCACTTAAACGTACTTTATGATCTCAGCAAAATTAACCGGTGAATCAAAGGTGACATTTTTCTGTTGGGTTTTGCTGCTTTGGAACAAAACCCAAAAGGAGAAAAGGAATACACACAGCCTACACTGATGTGTGCTCACCACAGCCTCTCCCACTAAAATATCCTTATCCTACAGCCAGTATCTGTTTGAAAATTCTTTGGATCATGTAAAAACATTAAATATTTACATTGACTCTCCCATCCCTTGCTAATTTAAATCTTAATATGATTCTATTCATTACATTCTCTTCCTATCCCTCACTCTCTCATTAGTACATAATTAATATTAACCAGAATTAGGGACTGAGCATGCAACATGAATTCTTTTATGCAAAACAACCCTCTCCTCTATTCAATGTAGCTTTCTCAGGAGGCATCTCAACGCTGACTACTCTGAAGAATGGGGTTTTGTTATATAGTGAAGAAAGAGTTGAGACATTTCATTAGCAAGCCAGATTTAGATCCCTCATAACCACAGAAGAAAGGCTGGCATATAAAACAGCTTCTCACACAGCTTTCCAGCAGTGCCTTCCTACTGGTTCTGCATCTCTGCAGCTGATAGTTTGAAGCAACAAACAAAAATCATAGGTAGCAAAAAATCTCAGTCACTCTGAGGTGTAACATATACTAACAATTGTACAACTAAGATATTGAGCTGTACCCTTTGTACAACAGGGCAATACTGTCCCCAAATCCCCTAATTCTTATAAATTCTTATAGAAGCCTTTGTACTTCCATGGCTTCCTACTTCAGCACTTCCACTGCTGCTTCTAACAACAAAGCATAGAAATGCTCTATACATCTAAGGACATTGTGACAAGTTAAAAAAACGCTTCAAAAGCACCACAGAAACATTACCAGCATATTCCTTACAGAATAGAGGTTCAAAAATTCAGTATTATTTTATTTCTGTAAATAGCCAACTGCAGTACAAGAAGCTTCATTGAATTGTTTGAAGGCCACACACAAAACTATTTAGCAGAGAATAAAGTTTCAAACAGTTGTTTGTATTCAACGCTAAGGTCACAACTAAGTTACAGGTCAAAAAAATTGTTCTGATAAACATCTGAACTAGAAAAGATGGCACTCCCTACCGCTGAATTACCCAGAACAGTAACTGGGGCTCTCTAACGCTCCCTTGGGGGAGGGAAGTGGTTAATTCCTAGACCCTTTCTCTCTCAAAACTGGGACACATCAGGACTTTGAAGTCTTAAATAATCACCACAGTAGACACCCCTCCAATCCCAGGGAACTGTGTGCGCTAGCAGCAAGAAAAAGAAATTTCCCTACTCCTACATAATCATAAGTGACTTTGTGTTTAATTTTATTTCCATTAAATAGCTTCCTTCACTGAGAAAAAGAGTACTAGAAATGAGTATGTACCAGAAAAATGCAGCCAGTGAAACCAATGCCTCAGGCTGGCAGTAGTACAGTCAGGAGACAGACAGAAGGACCAATTTGCCTTCTGACGCTCCCTTCCCAAGTTCCTTAACTTTGTATTAAAAACACACACCTAAATCAGAGGAAGAAGGAAACAGCAGTGCTGTTGTAAACTTTAACTATCAAGGCAATATCAAATCCAGTGGTAAGGAAGTTTCATGGCTCTCCTACAAAAAAGGGAATATATTGCCACCAGGAAAGAAGCTACTGTAGCCCTTTGTACTGTTTGAGTTTGTTCTTTAGTTCTAGCTAGCAGAAATAGCAGAACGTATCTGTATGTTTTCACCATAATTGTTTTGTTGTTATTAATAAGCAAAACCAAATCACTTCATTTCCCACTCTACATTTTTACTGCCTTTAATATCATACTGTTTAACATAATGATGACAAAAAGAAGCATTTACTGTAAGTTGTCCTGGTACTTCTGAGACTACAGTCTAAAAACTAGTTAAGACAAAACACTAAAAACCATACACAGGAAATTACCCTCAAATGGCAAAAGAGACAGACTAAATTGCTTAAAAACATTGAGCCAATGCATTAGCAGTCAGTAACAACACTGGTGCAGGTGTGTTTCTTAGTCCAGATCATCCATTAAGAAATTTGTCATGATTCCCTGTATTTCTGAATTCATGTTAAGCAATGACTTAGCACAAAACAGACTGTATATGTATGATACGGCACATCATGATTTATATCTCATTTATACATGACTTGCTAGAAACCTTGAGATAATACACTAACTTTGTAAACACTACAGAAACTATGATTTTTCGCAGAAACTATGAAAAAAAGAATGTTAGGCCTAAGTAAAAACATGTTTTTTCCTATTGTTTTGTTCCAGTTGTAAAACTGTCCCATAACGAATTGCATATTACTTCAAAAGTGAGCAAGACAAATAAAAACATTCTTACAGAAGATGCCATCAGTAGCCATTTGCTACTGCAACCTAATTATACCTGAAGTACCGTCATATGTCAACTGACTTTCATAAATATAAGCACATATTCATATATGTAATGTGTGTCTCACATTCTGTCTGGACAGAAAAGGTTACAGGAACCCTACAGTTTTAATTCCAAACTTCACAAAAGCAAAAAGCCACAAGGTTCAAATGAAAGGTTAGAGGGAGAGCAAGCAGGAAAACATCTGGATTTCTGTTGACACCCACAACATTAGCTCAAAAACAAAATAAAAGCACATTTCTTACCTTCACCTACCATAGAAACACCTATTGACATGCCCATAAACTTGCTTTTGGTCCATACGTGAGCGTTCACACACATTTTCTTCTCTTTGCACTCACAGTAAAAGCAAGACACCGGTGGATGATGGGATACTTGTTCTGCTACAAACCTCAGCTTGTAGCACGTGGACTGGTCCTGGCCAAACTCCTTGGCTGGGTCCTTAGAAACCGTGGAGGCACCATTAGTTCTGAATGCTTTCACTTTATCTTTAGGCACATCCCATGAGCAATGAAACGTTTCACCAATTATAGGGTTATAGGGCTTCTTGGCAACCGCTCCCTTTCGGCCTTCGTGAAAAGCTGTTAGATAATACTCCACAAAGCAGATAATTCTTTCCTCGGGAGTGGCTCCAGCTGCAATTGACAAAAACAGGTCTGGATGGGCCATGAAATTTGCATACATCTCCAGCAGGGATCTTTTCTCCAAAATAAATGTTGGAAGCACTACCTGTATGCAAAGCAGACAAAGGCAGATATGATTTCCCCGTGATCATACTACTGGGAGGGAAGAGGGGGGAGAACAGTTAAGACAGCTGCAATTCTGGCCCTGCCAAGTTCTGGGACAGTGAATTTTCCTCCCCTCTGCTACAGCAATTTAATTTTCTTTGCAGTGTAAATAACAAGCAAGTAAATAATGAGCAAAGGAAAAAGCAGTGGCCTTGATAGCCGTGCAGGCTGCTTCTCATTTCCTTGTGATTCTCAACGGCAGCTCACACAACAGGGATGGGCTGTTCCCTCACATGGAAATCTGCCTTTTCCTCTCCTCTCAGTTAACAGACCAACCATTGTTCTCCTTGTTTACAGGACATTAAAACATACTTTGATGTAAATTAATTACATCAAACATCAACAAACCCAACTAATCTTAACCCTCCAAAAAGGGCAGGGCATACCATGTCAAACCTCTAGAAGATGAGTATGTCATATAAACGTACACATCACAACCTGATAGTGGTGGAGAGTGTAAGGGGGTACATCTACCCATTCAGCCAAACATCTGGGCTCCCAGTTTCACTCCTGGGCCCTTGACCACCAACTGCACATTTATTAGGTCCCTTCCAGCCTCTAATAAACCAAGTCAACTAGATCCAATCAAAACCCAAATCTCAGGTGTGTTTCCAAGGATAAAACCATGCTAAGGACCATTCTCAAGAGGTTACAAGCAAGAAAGCGCTCCCCATTTGACTCCCTCTGCCCTACACAGTCATCACGTGTCATGTTCCTTCCCACCTCCCAGGTCAAATCCCTTGCCACCCCTACACCCTCCTGTCACCCCCAGGCACATAGCACGTCCCCTTGGTTTGAGATCGTACCATACTACTGTGGTGGGCCTCTGCATGCCTTCACCTGATTTTAGACAAGCTGAAACAAACAAAAACTGCACAAAACTGTTAGATTAACATCCTGGGACTAGAGAGGCTCCAGAGGGGCCAGAAAAAATCTGGGACTGAGCACTAGGCAGTCTGCGCTGGAGGGAGCCAGTCCTGAGTGATTTGGATGCCGCCTCGAGTGGCTCATCTAGCAACACAGATGTTGCCAAAGTCACTCACTTCGGAATAACACTTCATTAAAAGCTTTCAATGAAGCACCCTGGAGTGCACTGCAAGACAGACACAGGATACAGGACCTAAAGTAATTTATTTCTCCCCCTTCCTTCTCCCCCATGCTCCACACCTTGTGCAGGACCAATCCAGGGGAGCTCAAAGGTCACTCCTGCATGACCCACAAAGAGCTTCTGGCACACACAAAATCGTCTAGAGTCAAAGTGGCTCAGTGATGCCAGATGCACAACAACAGCTGTCCTCTATAAAGCAGTTCTTCTGCTTTCCTTTTTAATTCTTCCTTGCGTTTACTTCTTCCCTTTCCCAAAAGCGTGGGTTATTTATTGCAGGCAGAGAGCCACCATTCAAACACAAACACTTTCGCTTTCCCCCCTGCCACCCCAGCTTGCTATTCTAAGCGGGACCAAAGCACAGTTCAGTCCTTTTGGATCCCATGGATGATGAAATAGAAGCTCCCAAACTTTTATTCACCGTTTAGCTCTTTTCAAAGAAAACTTGTAAACATGAAAAAAAATTCCAGTCACAACGGCTCAAACACAGCTACAAAGTAAGTCAACACACCATGACTGCAAAAAAACAGATCCCTATTCCGTTTGGTCACATACGTACTCATTCTCTCTCCTTCTGTCTGTTATTTACACACTTACAGTCTTTTATAGGCTAATAATTTTTACAAGTTGAGATATAAATCAAGCAAAGTTCCATCTGTAATAGCCCTCTGAATCTACTCTATAAGCCTTGAGGACTCTACGTGATCTCTGTTACCAACCTAATGAGGCCTCAAAAGACGCGGGGCCTTAATTTTACACTCTGCGTGGCAAACTACTGAGTGCTAAAGACAGCCTGCAGTCCCTGTGGCCGTGTGATAGCAAGGGGCTGAGGAGATTGGTTTTTAAAAGTGAAATCTAAAACTTCGGAAGGCAAAGAGGAAGGGTAGTAGATTTTCTTAGGGTATTTTTGGCTCTTTAAGCAATTCCATCTTACTTGCAACGTTCTCATTCTGACCAAACATTCATTATCTGATATAATCTTAAAAAAATGCAGTGCAGCATTACTGACCCTCAATACAGGATCTCATTTTAATATAAATTGTACAATGATCAGGTTATCCAAGGGGAAACCGACAGCAAAACAGAGAGAAAAAACCCCACTACTGCTGTCTAGAAATACTGACTATCATGAGTTCACTGCACAGACTTGAAAGGGCAGAGAAACTCATTTGAATAAACAGCACACTGCATCTCGTTATATCCCAGTGTCTCTCTTTTAAAAGAGTGACCTTTATTAGCCCAAATGGAGGAGAAGAAAACTACAGACCGTACTTCTGATGATGCACATTTTATGGTACAACGTTAAGACTGCTGTGGTTTCATTCTGTTGACGTGACCATATAGTCCTCATATCTACTCTCTCAAGTACTAGCTGTCTGCTTTGCAGCTACATACTTAACAGAGCTACACCAACACAGCCACTAAGTAAGATGTTACGAATCGTGGGACTCCTATTATTCAGTTTCAAGAATCAATTTGAAATCTAAGTTTGAAATCCAGCCCAAATGATCTTACTTTAAAAGCCCAACTAAAATGGAAATTACATTCCTAATTGTAGCAATAAAGGATCCACTGCAAAACGGAATAATTGAACCGTTTCCTCAAAAGAAGGTAGAACTACATATGAAAAATATTTGAGTTTTTAAGCTTACCCAACTCCAGTATTACAAAATACGCCTAAGAAACATTGCCTTTTACAAAATAATCTCGCCACCTGAAAGTTACGATATGCAACACCACCACACACTAACATAATCAAAAAAACCCAAAACATAGCAATCTTTTTTTTTAATTCGCCTTATCTTGATTTCTGCAGAAATAAGCAAATTAGAAATAAATAAATTTGGAAGCATACGGCATTCTTCTGGCTAGCATTGGGCTTGTGCTAGCACTCTAGTTTCCAAAGGAATGAGGTTTTCAGCTCCTCTGCAGCCAAGCAGAATGCACTGTCCAGAGAAATACACTTAGGACCTATGTTCTTTATATTGGTTTTGGACTACAACAATTATCTTTTTTTTAATTTGCATAAAAAGCCAAAACTGCGTAAGTTTTTTCCTCTGAGAAAAAGTCAGCATGAGAACCAAATGGACAAAAGAATCTGTCTAGAATAAATACCAAGTTGCCGAAGTCTGAAGCAAAAAATCTGATTGCATTCTAAAACGTCAGAATAATCTCTGTTCTTATTCCCTCTCAGGTTTCATGTGAAAACGAAGCAGTTCAACAGGCGTTCTTCCCTTTTCATTAAGGTTCAAAAGAGGATATTGGTTCAAAGCTTGATCATAACCTCCTAGGTTTGAATTCACCTATACTTAATGAGATCTGAATGCAACTGAGAAAAGTAAGAGCATGACTTCTTAAGGACAGAGATATTTATCACTCCTACTATTTACTGTGAGGTGAAACATGGGCGTCAGCACCACTCCCTACTTTTTTCAGAAATCCGACCAAGGTACCCCATGTTGAGATGTCCTTCTCTTAGAGGTACAAAAGCTTTCCACTGTCATCTCTGCCACTGTGGGAATAAAATAGGCTATTTTCGTCCCACTTACATTTGAAAATTACAAGGTAAAAGTATATTGACAAACAAATTAAAAACTTACGACGTTGTGAACATACTACAATGATAATTTACAACAAGATGATATTCTGCCGAATTACTGGCAGTCTCTTTACACAGAATGGCAGCCCTTTATTTTTAGCACATACTAACTGCGTAGGGAAGGTCAGGGAATGCGGGGGAGTGATCATCCATCTGTACGAATTGTTAGCATTAATTTCAATCCACTAGATGCCATTTGCCAACACATTTACCAGGCTGTCAGTCATTTTTGGCGCTATTTTTCATTTTTAAAAATCCACAGAACCAACAATTTAGAAACTTATTCTTTTCCCAGCAATTACAATTTTAAATGAGGTTTCAAGTCCTAGCCCAGCCCAAGGCATGAGTTTCATACTACGTTCTAGTGCTGCGAAATGCTCCCCCACCCAACTCTCTCTAGCAGCTACTGAAGTCTATTTGGCCACCACAGAACCTAGCCTGTTCTACCAAATCTCCATGCATATTTAGATTCATAGATTTCTAGGTTGGAAAA